AGTCTTAATCATATGTTAGTCTTAGTATATGCTACCAAATTCAAGCTGGCAAATAAATAAGGTAAGCCACCAATGACCTCAGCTGCGACTTTATCTGGGAAATATGTCTTATGATAATGTGTAGAGTGGCCAACCAAGCGTCACTGAACTAATCTGATAAGCAAAGAGAAAATTTAAAAAACCAGCTGTGCCAAAATCAAAGTTTAACAAGCAAAAATTAAAGTGAGGCACAAAAGAGATTTAATACTCAATCGAGAGCCTCAAGTGTCTTAAGAAAAACACTTTGAAGGAAGAGTATTTGAAGGGACAACAGTCATACTGTGAGTCACTAACAAACTATCTGATCACTTAAGAACTATTCTAAAAAGTGCCTTTAGCGTACTAGTCATTCTTAGGAGGAAAAAAGCGGTTTAAACATGTTTGTTTTAACAAACCCGTCTACTGTGTGCTCAATCCTAAACCACAGATGTGCTCAGTGTTATACTAGAACTATGGAAAGACGTATTTTCACTAACAGAGACGTCAAACTCCCTATCAGGGCTTACAAATACCTCACTACCTGCCACTACCAAACCCCTTCCTCTCCAGCCTACTAACCTACCACTCTTCCCCCCTTGTCATCTACCCCTGCCCTCCTTGCTACTCCTTGAATAGCCCAGGTTCGCTCTCACCTTGGAGCACCAGTCATTACTGTTCTCTCTCTGCCGAGAAAACTCCTAGCTGGCTATCTAACTCTACATGGCTAACTCTTTTGCTTCCTTCAGGACAGTTCGAACTCCACTTTCTCAGTGAGGTCCACCCGGACCACATTATTTTAAATTGCAAGCTCCACTCTCAAACTAATACTCCTAATCCCAATTCCCACTATCTTCCCAGAAAACTTAACCACCTTTTAGCCAGTGATATAATTTATTCATGTTTATTGTTTGTTGCTGTCTCCTCTTACCAAAATGTAACTGCCACAAGGGCTGAGTTTTTGCTTGCTAACATGTCCCAAGCCTAAAACAGAGACTGCAAAAAGCAGGCACAAATATTAAATTACTGAATTAATGAACTGCTACAAAGGAGTCAAAGCTAATGAAAAATGAAAGCAAAAATTCACTGTGTTTCTAAATCACCTCTAATCCTGTCCATTTTTTCTAATATTTTCTACTCAGTAATGGTCTCACTATCATCTAGATGTTCAGGCCAAAAAAAGCCTGGACATCCTTCTAGATGTCTCACTCTTCCAAATCTCCCATAGCCGATTCATTACCAAAGCTGTCAAAATTACTTCTACTGTCTCTTGTTCACTTTCCATTGCACCAGTTCAAACCTTTTAATCTCTAAACTAGACTATGAAGTCCACAAGTGAGCTTCTTTGCTTTATCTACCCAAGACTACTTAACAGATTTTTAGATAGACATAATAGAGGACGACAGGCAAGAGAATGCAAAGTGAAGAAGTCCTTAAAGGCTACAAAAATGAATTTTACCCTGGCTTTCTTTCTTCCCCTTCATGCACACTTACTCATATGCATCAGGTCCAGTTCAGATATCATCTCCACTTTGGAAGCCTTTCCTGGTTCCTTCAGGCAAAGTACACACTCTTTCCCCCCCTCTTTGTACATAACTCCATTATAGCACTTATTGGAGCCATTATTTATTCACAGTTAGTTGTTCCACTGGACAAGAGTCTAATCTTATTCTAGCATTGGGCCTAGCACCAAAAATAGCTATTGAACAGATGAGTGAACACTTTTGTCTAGAACTGGCAGTTATAAAGAAGAAAATCTAAGAGACAGACATGGTGGCACAAACCCGTAGTCCCAACTACTCGGGAAGCTGAGGCCGGAAGATTGCTGAGTGCAGGAGTTCAAGTCCAGCCTGGGCAATGTAGTGAGACTCTGTCTCAAAAAAAAAAAAGGAAAAGGGAGGAGAGGGAAGGAAGAGGAGGAAGGAGGAAGAAGAGGGTGGAAGAAGAGGAGGAGGAAGAGAAAGATGAAAATCTCAGTTTGAATAAAAGGATGCCAAAGAGTATATCAAAGATGGAAAAATGAAAATTATCTATGTAGTTACCAATAAATAGTAGATAAAAATGCTAAACCAACGACCCATGGGGGGGGGCAAAACAAAACACAAGAGGCTATTTCCACAGAGATAAGGGTAATAGGGACTCCTATGAAAATATTTAATAAAAAGATCGCCTCAAATTTCACAAGGAAATATCAGAGGTGGAAGAAGGGCTAGCCCAAAATAGCCCATAAAAAGAAAGCAATTCTCTCAGCTAGGAATACTCAACTAGAAATAAATTAATTGGGTTCATAAAATGTTAATGATGATATGCAGATTACTTTAATTAAGAAAAAACCATTGTACACCTTATCACCAGTAACCTCTAATCCCACCTCTTCAAAAGATACCCAAATATGCATAATTCAATCATCAGAAAAATTATCTCAAAGGTGAAGGCTCTCAAAAACCAGCAAAATTATATTAACAGAAGAAATAGCTATTAAATTGTTATTAAAACTCAACATATTAAACTCAAATGTGGTTTTAACTTTTCTCATAAAACTCTACATTTGACAGGCCTGTTAAAAAAAAAAAATGAAGAGCCTAGCAAATCAATTTTTTTTATATTAAGGAGGTCCAGTTCTATGCTTGAGGGAAAATGTAAAAGTATTCAAAATAATGCCTATTTCACTTATATTTCAATGTAAAATAAACAGCTTACTCAGTATAAAATGGCTTAGTCATATACTAAATCACATACCAGTGGCTCTGTTGCTTTTCTGGCTCACAGGTCCTGTCCTATAGAAAAATATGCATATATACAACATACAACTAACATTTTAAGTATGTCAGGGCAATCACAGAGGCCCTGCTGTCTATTTGCAACTTCCTAGAGATCCAAGGAACCCACTTGGAGAACTGTTGCTTTAATGACTAGAAATAGCAAATACATAAGACTCCTCAGAGAAGGAGATAAACTATTAATAACTCTAGAGCTTTTTTTCTTAGTCATCCAGGCAATGGAGAATCATTTAATATAAAAATTCCTACTGGCTGAATTTTATCAAATTATATACACCCAGACTGAACTAAAATGCATGCACATGACTTAAACTTGAAACCTAAAGTGTTTAAAAACAGATGTAGTATTAATAGTAGTAACGACAGCTAATATTTGAACATTCATTATATATCGAGATTGTTTCAAGGGTTTAAATATATTCATATTTATACATAAATGTAAATATGTGATTATCCTTATTCCTCACACATGAGGAAATTAAGGCATGGAAAGGTACAAAGACAGTCAAGGGACATAGGCTGGGCACAATGACTCAAGTCTGTAATTCCAGCACTTTGGGAGGCTAAGGCGGAAGGAGCACCTGAGTCCAGGAGTTCAAGACCAGCCTGGGCAACATAGTGAGACCTCATCTCTACCAAGAAAAATTAGCAAGAAAAAATGGCATGGTGGCACGTGCCAGTAGTTCCAGCTATTCAGGAGGCTGAGGCGTGAAAATCACCTGAGCCCAGTAGGTCTAGGCTGCATGATCCACTGCACTCCAGTCAAGGTGACAGAGTAAGACCTCAACCCAAAAAAAAAAAAAAAGTGAAGAAGAAGAGTCAGGGGACAACAACATGAAACAAAAATAATGAGATTGAGAAGTAAAAAAATTATGTTATGGTGTATTATAACTAACATCAACTTAGACCTACATTTGTATTATCACAGCTCTACAAAGCAAGAATACACTGTCCAAACTCCAAAATAAAGAGTTAATCCTTTCCATATCCCCACCAAGATAATCCTTACAAAACCATATTCACTTTGGAGTACACCGTAACCAGAAATGTTCAAAAGAGCACAATCCTAAAGAATTTAAAAGATGTAAGGGGAAGACCAATTTTGAGGCTAAGAAATGTTAGCTTTCTACATCACTGTCTTTGTATAAGTGCCAGCAATAAGAAGTAAAAATATATGAAATAGGGTACTTTTTTCTACAAAAGAAGTTCAAGTTTCTCTATCTCAATCTTTTATCAAGGCTATGCTTTCTTTCTTTTTTTTTTTTAAATCATGATCAAATAGATTTTAAGACTATGCCTCTTGTTTACCATTTTGGGGCCACACTTCTTCCACTCCAGAGACAATAATTAAAGTAGAGAATACCTCACAGGTTGAACAGGTCTTATTAAATCCCAACAAGCCAAAGACAAATTTCAGATTCATTGGATTCAGGAATCAAATTCCAGATTCAGGCCTATACTATGTCCTGAACAATGTAGCATACAATAAATATTTGTTGAAGGGTTGAATCTTCTCTGGCACAAAATGGACATATTGAAGACATTGTTACTTTAACATTTTCTACTTCCCATAATGCTATACTGCAAATCATTAGAGTATCAAAATAATCAGGGACCACAAGCCTTTACCTTAAACTACATGACCAAAAAGTTACAAGTTACCATTGTGTTAGGCTCTACAGCCAGGAGGGGAAAAAAAAGAAAGAAAAAGACTACTTTTTTTTTAGATGTGTTTGTTCTGTATGTAATAAAAAGACACTCTTGGTACACAAAGCATACAAGAACAAAAGTTCTGACTAAAATATTCCCTAATATTAAGGAGTATGTTTTGAAATACGACTTATACTTGCTAAATGCCAATCTACCAAAATAAGCAAGGATGACTTTATTTCAGCAAAACTCAGAATACTGTTTCTTCAACATCTTTAGAAAGCAGCTTTACACACCACATTCTTTCATCTGCTTTGTACTATATCTTCATACCCAACTGAAAACCAAACCCTTCTCACATAGTGGCCAAAATTTCATTAATCACAAGAAAATATACAGCAGAGAAGCAGAATAATATGAATAACAGAGGCAGACAAAAACTATAGATGCAGCACTTGGAAATGACCTTTAAAAAGCAAACAGGAGTGTATGTTGAGACAGAAAATCTATACAATATGCATGGGAATCACATAAAAAAATTCCACTACCACTTACCCGATGAGCTCTCAGTAAACACTGTCAATGTCTGTCCTCCAACACTTTGCAAGACAAATGGATGTTCTCTAGGAGCACTAACTGAAGCTGGTTTTCCACCAATATCATGAATATTTGCAAGATCCTCATTCAAAGTAAACGACACCTAATGGACACATTAACCAGAGTTTATTACAATAGACTTTTGTATTCAAAGAAATTTTGGTTATAAATCTAGTTTTTTAAAACGTGTTTCTAGTCACTTGATTAAAATTTTTAACTTTATTTAAAAATTCTTAATACTAATTCATAATGTAAGTGGGTATAGTGGTGCATGCTTATAATCCCAGCTACAATAATCTCAAAGGCTGAGGCAGAAGGATTACTTGAGCCCAGGAGTTCAAGGCTGTAGTGTACTATTATCATGCCTGTGATTGTGATAGCCATTGTACTCCAACCTAAGCATAGCAAGATTCTATGTCTGAGAGAGAGAGAGAGAGAGAGAGAATCTATTCCCATTTGTCAGAATAATAGGGCTAACCTACCATTATAAACAAAGAGAGCTTTTGGTCTGGGCACAGTGGCTTACTCTTCTAATCCTAGTACTTTGGGAGGTCAAGGGAAGAAGTAAACTATTTATTCTGAAAAACTTAAACACTCCCATAAACAGAGGACATATTTCTTTTTTATGTCTTAATGACTACTGCATGAGTACATGGTACATTTTTTTTTTTACCATTTTAATAAATATAACTAAATATTTACAAGGACAGCTTAACAGTAAGGTTTAGAATACAAAGCCATAGTAGGTATTTTTTCAAAATGATTTTTATTTTCTACCAGATCTAACCAAAAGAACACCAAATTCTTCATTAAAGAATTTATAGGCCAAGCATGGTGGCTCATGCCTATAATCCTAGCACTTTGGGAGGCCTAGGCAGGAGGATTACTTGGCAACAATATAGCAAGACCCTGTCTCTACAAAAAAAAAAAAAATCGCTAGATGCGGTGGTATGTGTCTATAGTCCCTGCTACTTGGGAGGTTGAGTTGGATCACCTGAGGTCAGGAGGTCAAGGTTGCAATAAGCCAAGAGCATGCAACTCTACTCCAGCCTGGGCAGTAGAGTGAGACTACAACTCAAAAAGAAATAGCGCTTTATAAACCTAAAATTACTGAGTTCCCAACTATGTAAATCATGAAGTACTTAGAAATATCTCTTTACTATTTGATAGGTACACATAAATTATGAAACTGGACCCAATGGGTAAAAAATCCAAATCAAATGCCTTTGCCACATTGAAATAATACTAAAGAAAGTATTACTAAAGTATTACTGAAGTCATATTCACTTTCATGGTACGGAGAGAGGGAATATTTAGGTCAAAAAAGTAAAACACTGAGAATGAACAACTAGAAAAGAGTCCATTCATTCACACAAGGGGGCATTTATACTTTATGTGTTCCTGACCATCAGCCACTCATTCGATGTGGAGTTTCCCAAAATGTCGACAACACTTTCTTTTTACTATTACTAATGAAAAGTAAGCTAATCTCATGTTTTAACTAAAATTTTCATAAACAATCTTACCTCAGTCCTTCCTTGATTCCTAAAAGAGAGGAAAGGAAATATTTACAATTAGAGCCCATGTTATTTTCAAAAGTGAGTTAAGAACTAAAAGAAATAATGCTACCTCATATTTACACAAAATATTACATTTACAGAGATTAACTAGTATTTACCCTTGGCTCTCCTCAACTGCCCTATTTGCAATCCTATGAGAAAAAGAGACTCATATTAACCATATATAATTATTCTAGATATTATGAGTCTGTGTCATTTAACAGTACTATACCCTGTCCTAATTATATTCTGTCTAAATAATGATCTTGTTACAATTCTTGTCTTTATTTCTGAGCATTTATAGCATTCAGTAGCATGTGAATACCATATCTATATAGTACTGCAGCAAATTCTACTATTCATTTTGTCTAGCTGAAGAGTTTTAATTTATCTAACAAAATCTTAAAGATCAAGTTATTAAATTTTACAAATTTTAAAAATTATAAGCAATTTTCTTTACAAAAATAATCTAAGCCCATTATGTAAATATTTTTAATAAGACAAGCAAAAAAGTTTTAAAATAGCCATAATTACACTGTTAACATCTTGGGACACTAAATATCCTTCCACACTATTTTCTATATGCTATATTTGAATGACATTTTAAAATATTTTTGAAAAATTTTTTACAAATACAGAATCAACATACACCCTATATAATAGCCTAATTTTTAAAAAACATATATTAAATACCTCCTACATGTCTAAAGTCCTGTCCCAGCTAGCAGAAGACATAAAAGGTATATCCATAACTATAAAATGAGATAAATTGTAACGTTCAATCAAGAAAGTCACAATGTGCTAGGATCAAATAAGAGGACACCATTTTTTTCACATTAAGAGTTAAAAAATGGTTCAACAAAGAGGCAGCTCTGAGTTGAGCCTTGAAGACTACTAACATTACAATGAGCTAAGGTGGGAAAATACCACATCAGACATGAGTAGCAGAGCAAAGCCACAGAAGGGTCTAATCACCAATGAGTGACCAAATATGCCTGGAAGGAAGGAGGCAAAATAAGGAATAGTGGGAGGTGAACTATAGGGGAGAACTGGGGCTAACCATGGAAGATCCCAACTATCACAGCACAAAGTACTGACTTTATTCTTTGGGCACTGGAGAACCACTGGAGAGCTTTGAGCAAAAGAATAACAAGTACAAAGATATGCCCTAGGAAATCTGCACCAGAAAATAGATGGAGCATGGACTGACATGACCAGACATACAAAGGCCAGTGAGAAAGTCACTGTTTCCCCATAACACCCATTTTAGTTCCAACCTGCCTCAGCCACTCACTCATTCTATCATCAGACTTAAAGTCGACTAAATAATCACTACACAACGTGCTAGGTTCACGGAACAGTATGAATGTGGGTCCTCATCCTCAAGGAGGTACTAGTTTAATGAAAATAGGTCCGATCCATTAACAGCTACAAATAAGACAGCTGTATCTTCTCTTCCCATAAGGATAAAACCTTTATAGCAGAAGTACATGCCATAAATTTACCCATCATGGAAATACAGACTAAAAAGCTAGGAAAAGATTAATTGAGTCAAGGATGAGGTCAATAACACAGGGAAATTCCAGGTTAAGGGGATAGCCCAGGAAAAAAGAGAAAGTATCTACATATTCTTCTTGACATGGCAGCCTGTAGTCGAGTGGTAGAGTCTCTTAGGCCAGACTAAGGAGTCCAGATTCTTAAACAGATTTGTTTACTGTAGGATTTCTCAGTCTTTCATATATTAAAATGCAATGTCAACCTCTTTTCTGTTGAGGAAGTATCTAAAAAAGAGGTGAGAACATTTTAAGATTTCACAGAAAAATATGAATTTCCAGCTTCTCTTACAAAAACTGAAGATTTGGCCCCCAATTCAGCATGATAATAATCCCCTCAAAATGCTTTTGGGGGAGGTACTAAATTCACCACAGTCCCTTCCCTATCACTCCAGAAGTTAGTTTCTAGAGGCATTTAATTTAGCTACCTGTAAGACAGAGGTGCTGTAAACAAGCAAAGGAAAAGAGGCAGAAGACATTTCCATAATATCTACTGAATTCAACCGAGGCTAACACAACACCCACATAAAAAGTAATGAAGGCTTAAACCAGGTAGTGGTAGGACGCAAGTAAGAAGTACACAGCAGGGTCATTAAACTGTTAGAGAGGAGAGGAGAGGAAATTACTGGAAGCAGGCAGTATTTTTTAAAAAGATAAAATTACGGATTGCGTTAACATTTCTGGTCTTAGCAAATAGAAAATCACCCAGATGCAATTAGGGAACACAGGAGGAGAGGACAGCTTCATTTGCATACATATGTAATTATAAGAGTATCTTAACTAGAATGATACGAGATTGATGAGCTCTGGATGAGTTAATATTGTCAGGAAAAAAGCTAATCCTTGAAGACTTAAAGCTGACTTTAAAAGGCTGACATACCCTTGCCTTGGTATGTGAATGTATGAAGTATATACAACCTTTGTAGCTCTATATTATAACCATAATACACCTTTTGCATGATGACCTGTGGTCAACATTATAAACACTAATTATTGCACAACACAGTAATACCTTCAGAAATGAATGAAGTAAACCCCTGCCATTCTTTCACTGAACTCCTTACAATCCTGTGCATTTTCTCCCTTGCTCCTCGGAGTCCATCTCTCAACACCCACAGCTACTTCTTGACACTCCCCTCATTCTACTTGCCTTGTAGATTTTTATTAATCATGTCTTTCTTTTTTCTTATACTTTTTAAATACTTCTTGGATTCGACACTAATAGTCCTGACTTTTCACTATCACTTATAGCCAATAAAGCACCACCTTTTCTAGGTTAAGAAAACCAAAAAAAAAATATCAAGTCGCCAGGCTCGGTGGCTCAGCCTGTAATCCCGCACCTTGGGAGGCTGAGGTGAGTGAATTGCCTGAGCCCGTGGGTTTGAGACCCGCCTGGGCAACTTGGTGAAACCTCATCTCTACAATAAATCAAAAAACTAGCCGGGTATGGTAGCGCACACCTGTAGTTCCAGCTACTTGGAAGGCTGAGGCGGAAGGACCGCCGGAGCCCAGCAAGTGGAAGCTGCGGTGGACGGGAGCAGCCACTGCACTCCAGTCTGGGCGACAGAGTGAGACTCCAACTCAACAACAACAACAACAACAAAATCAAGCCTACACCTGTGCTTGAGGGTTTCCATCGTTTGTGTTTTGTTTTTCATTCCTATTTACTCCGTCTACCTGAATAACTGAGCTCAAAAACCATCAGGTGAGGCCAAGCAAGGTGGGTATCCACAGAGTGAGTTGGGAGGATGTCAAAGTCCGAATGAGGTTAAAAGGTTATCCCTGGGTAGAAGGGCAGCGAGGGGCAAGGAGTCCAAGCCCAGTCAGGTATAAAAAAAGTAGCTCAGCAAGGAGTGTGTTGGAGCCTAGCAAGTGAGGGCATCCACACAGGAGGACAATCTGAGCAGGAAACGGGCTGCTCTCCTCTTGGTGGGATAAGGAGGAATCTCTATGGAAGAGAGGGAATGCTTCAGACAGGGAATGGAAACCCAAACAGGATAAGGAGGGTATCCCCATGGAGGACAGCATAGGTGGCAGCACAATGAGGGGAGCAATAGCCCAAGTAGAGTGAATAAGGTATTCAAACATGGAGTGGGGAAAGGAATTAACAAATAAGAACAGAAGGCTGGGTTACGCAAAATTTTTTGTTAAGTTGGCTGGGCAATGTGGCACATGCCTATAGTTCCAGCTACTCAGGAGGCTGAGGAAGAAGGATTGCCTGAGCCCAGGTCAAGGCTGCAGTGAGCTATGATCATGCCACTGAACTCTAGTCGGGGCAACAGAATGAGACTCTAACTCAAATAAATAAATACATGCATACATGAATACATACATACATACATACATGCATAGGGCTGAACAAATAAGTAAATATATTAAGGACAACAGGAACCAGGTTTTCCACTTTTGGAAAAGAGGGAATATGAAAAGGGAAAAAACTAGAACATATCATGTGGTATTGAACTGGAACTGCATACTGGTGTGAATTCATAATTTTCAATACATGTAAACAATTAACTATAGCTGGGCACAATGGCTCATGCCTATAATCCCAGCACTTCAGGAGGCTGAGGCAGGAAGATCTCTTGCGACCAGGAGTTTGAGACCAGCCTGGGCGATGTAGTGAGATCTTGCCTCTACAAAAAATAAAAAACAGCTGGGTGTGGTGGCACATGCCTATAGTCCCAGCTACTTGAGAGGATGAGGTGGAAGAATCACCGGAGTCCAGGAGGTTGAGGCTGCTGTGAGCCTTGATCATGCCACCACACGCCAGCCTGGGTGACAAGAGTGAGACTCTGACTCAAATATAATAAATAAATAAATACAGATGTAAAGAGGTGTGTATATGTATGTACATATACTTCCTAACTCTGTTCACTGAGAAGGCCTGGAAGCAGCAGTGAGTACTTGGGGTATCCAGCTCTTAGTTTTTAAATATCATTCTTCCTTAAAAGGAACCAGGGAGAAAGGGCTGAATCCAGGGCTCAGGCAGAAACGTACAAGATGTGTCGAAAACATCTCTCTATGTCACAAAGTAAGAAGTGCCCAAAGAATGATGAGAACATTGTCAACAGGATATGAATATTTTAGTATTAATTTATCCATGTTTATTAATCTTTTGCATTGCTCACTTATTATTTCCATGGAATAAGTCCTAGAAGTTGATGGAATTGCTAAGTCAAGGCATGAATATTTTATTATTAATTTTTCTAGCTTTCTCATTATTCCAGTCCCACTCTACCAGATAAAATTAGGGCCTGTCTCTCTACATAATGGCAGCACCAAGAACTGAGTAAAATGCTTAAGTTGTGCGCTAACTGGCAGAGAAAAGAGTGTGACTGTCATTCTATTTTATTTTGAGCAGGAATATGTGGTGTATATGTGTGCATGTATGTTCTACTTATGTGTTTCAATATATATGTTGCCAGAAAGC